AGGAGCATCGGCCGCTTCTGCTCCCTAATTAGCGTCGTAACTAGAGCAGAGGGTGCGGGTGGGAAGGGCGAGAACGAACATCCCCTGCGGAGGGAGAGAGGATGAGGAGAGAGGAGCCAGGATTTGGGCTCGGTCTGTTGGCGCTGGCGCGTGGCAATACCGGTTAATCCTTTTGGCGCTGAGTGCCGGGGAGCTGTGGGCTTTCCTCAGCTGGGTACGCGGTTTTACTTGGTGTTGACCTTTCTGCTGTTGAGGCTCTGGTCTCCAGGTCTCTGTCAGTGTGCGCAGACCACTCCGAGTTTTGAAATCCAAGACTGAAACAGGGTGGGGGTGAGAGGGAAGGACAGCCAGGGCCGAGAAGGCTGTGCCCAGCGGATTAGGAAAACTGCACACTGGGAGTTGGGAGACGCTGCATTGCTCTCGGAGGATAACTCCTCAGCTGGAAGAGGAGTTATCCTGATACAGAGACCTTTGCAAGTGAGGTGCAAATCAAAAACCAAATGATGCTTTCCTCGGCACAGAGCCTCTGCTGAGAACGAGTTCCTTCCCAGTCCAGGTTATTGACTTCTAAAATCCTTCAAACTGTTACTTCTTAAAATTAAGAATAGTTGCTGTTTCTCTTTCTGTAGGGTTCGTCAAGACTGAGTAGCGAGAAAGGTCGTGATGAAGAACCAAGGCGGGGAGACCAAAGCAGCCCCGCGGCCTGCCAGCTCTTCCAAAATGAGCAGTGGGCTGGCGTTGGAGGAAGGCGACTCGTCGGAGGCTGCAGCACCCCTGGAAGGTGGGGAATCCCCAGGGCCTGGGGTGCGCCGCTCCCTGCCCGCAGCTGACAGCAGCGCTGGCAGCCCTGGCAGCGAGGCACAGGAAACGCATGAGGGTGGGTTTTGAGCCCGGAAAGAGCCAGGCTGGTGCTCTCTGTGTGAGCGGGCTGCTGTGTCCAGCTCTTTTTACTTGTATAACAGCAGCTGTGAATTCCGGGGCAGAAAATCCTGGTTTCTTCCTATTTCTGTGTGTGTACAGTTCTGAAGTAGTTCCCACTTCCTGACCAAAGCACGGAGTTGATCCTCATCTGAAAATGATGGGTCCTTTATCGTTGCTTAGACCTTCAGAGTCCCATTCAGCAAATGTCAGACAGCTCTTTGCTTGGGGCAGCGTTATGTTGAGTGACCTGCCCTGTTACTGGCACGTCATAAAAATAATTCTCTGGAAGATGAAAACTGATGGATGTGCTGCCTGGTCTTTTCCCAAGCGTCCACTGTGGGGGACAAGATGCATTTGATCTGAGACAGTACAGCTGCTCTTGTATGTGAGGAGAGAGGCTAACCCAGGTTTAAAAATCTATTGTAATGTAAAGTAGCCTGGCTCTGGGGATGTTAGCAGGCAGTTCCTATGAGGGGAAGCTCACGCAGAACCTGCTTTCGTTAAGGGCTCGTGGGGAGGGGGCGGATTTTTGCTCTTGACAGATGTCAGGGGCTTGGTCATGCTCTCGGGATCAAAAGAGAGGCTGTTAGGAATGCACCTCCATTGTCAGGGCAGCTGGCTGGAGACGCAGCCAGAACAAAGCAGCTTATGTTGCGGGAAGTTTAGCCAGCCCCGGTGCAGTGGGGTGCTCGGGAAACCTTCCCTTTGCCGTGTGCTTATAGAGACCAGAGAATAGACAGTGTGGGGGAAGCCTTACGCTTTTGTGTTCCCACAGCTCCTCTTGCGCAGGAGGACACCAAGTCCTCCCGGCCTGCTGTGCGTGACGTCTCCGAAGAGCTCAGCAGGCAGCTTGAGGACATCCTGAACACGTACTGTGTGGATGCCAGCCAGGAGGGCCCAGGCGAGGACGGCGGGCAGAGCGAGCCTGCGGAGCCGGAAGAAGCCGAGAAGTGTCGTAGCGAGTCCCCGAGGAACGGTGAGCAGGAGACGGGCAGCCCCGAGATGAACGGGGAGAAGGAAAGCACGAAGGGGACTGAAGATTTTCGACCCAGCGAGGAGTGTGGGGAGCGGGATCAGAAGAAGGCTCAGGAAAAGAAGAAAGCCAAGGGCCTAGGTAAGAGGCTCGCTGCTCTGGTTGTGCCACCAGCCTGAGAACTTGGGTGCAGACATTGATTTTATACAGCACTAATTGCCCTCAGTGAAATAAGTGCCTTGGGCGCGTGATGTACAGCGGCGTTTGGGAACGATACAGCGTTGTGTTTTGTGGGGTGTGAGGAAATGTGCCGAGTGCTGCAAAGGCACCGACTGCTCCTGGGTGCTGCTGCAGCCTCTGAATTCTGTGGATTTCTCTTCTGCTGGACACAACTCTTCCCTAGCCAGCCCAGCGTGGTTTCCCACTCTGAAGACCAGGTCTCTCCCCAGCTGCTTCAATTGTTCACCCGCTGTATGCGGTGAAATCTGTGGGGCAGAGCCCTGAGGAGGAGATGGTAGCTCTGGCCCAGGGCAGGCGCGGCTGTGAGCCCTGGTTTGTCTCTCCTGTCTTTGCCCTTATGAGCCAGAACTCCAAGTGATTTTATTTTATTTATTTTAATTCCGTGTCTCATTCCAGGCAAAGAAATCACTTTGCTGATGCAGACGCTGAACACCCTGAGCACACCAGAGGAGAAACTGGCAGCACTGTGCAAGAAATACGCTGAGCTGGTGAGTGCATATTCCTTCGTTTCTGGGGCTGGGGGAGGAGGCTGCAGCAGCAAGCGCGGGAGCTGCTTGAGGAGGCAGAAGATGGCTGTAGATTTTTTTTTTTCTTGATATTAAGAAGAACAGTTCAGGAACACACGTGTAGCTTTGCAGTGATGTTCTGGGATCTCTGCAGTGCTGGAGATCCAAATATCAGAGGATGGATGTTGCTTGGTCCAGCCAGGCGTTGTGTGCAGAAGCGTAAGCACAGACGGGAGTATTTTTGGCAAATCTGCATGTAAGAGGGCTTGAGATCTGTTTTCTCTCTGCTCCTCTAACGCGGAAGCCGCATCCTGTCCCAGGAGGGTACTGTGGCCAGGTCTGTTCTGCTGAGCGCGCGTGTCCCGCTCTGCCTGTGGGCAGGGCTGTACTGAGAGTTGGCCAGCCCAACCATGACAGAGGCTCGCACGGATACGTCTCCTGTCTCCACCGCTCAGTTGCTGCATTTCTCTTGATAATTTCTGAGCAAGAAATGCATTTTTGGCAGAGTCACCCTGCTGCTGCGTGTACAGCTGTACTAAACACACAACGTCTGATGCCATGTTTAACCAGAGCTAGTCCCAGGCATAGATCTAGTTCTGTGCACGGATCCAGTACAGAGAGGAGGTGTGGGACTGTCTGTGCGTGTCTGAAGTGGACGCGTTCAGGTTTTCCCTGTGCTCAGAGCTCTGCTCCAGTTGAGCAACATGTGTGTGGAGGTGCTGGGTGAACGTGCAGGTCTTTCAGATTCCAGCAGGACAGGAGTTCAGGAAGGAGCAGGGCCCTGTCCAGGGCGCCTTGGGCTCTGCGTCAGTCCTGCTCTGCTCAAAAGTGGCATCTTTTGCGTTATAAAGCTCTTGCCGCCCTCGCAGAGCACAGAGAGCATCATCGGCCCATCATATTGCCCTGGTCTGTCTTGCTGCATCTGTGCCCTTTGCTCCCCTGTGCCAGCTGGAAGAGCACCGTAACTCCCAGAAACAGATGAAGATCTTGCAGAAGAAGCAGACGCAGCTGGTGCAAGAGAAGGACCACCTGCAGAGCGAGCACAGCAAGGCCATTCTGGCCCGCAGCAAGCTGGAGAGCCTGTGCCGCGAGCTCCAGAGACACAACCGCACCCTCAAGGCAAGTGTCTCCCGGGCACTGTTCCAGGAGCTGCTTCATCCCGAGCACTTGGATCACCTGCGGTGGGGCTGCAAGCCATTTTGGCAAACTTACCTTTACCAATGATTGCCCACAGCCCAGTGTTTTAATTTTGCTGTTAAGCCATCATTCCGCACTGTGCCTGAGTGTTATTTCAGGGTATATTCACTGGAGAAAAGGAGGGGAAAGGCCCAAAGTCCTTTCCTGGTTGATGCAAGGAGCAGTGGGAGGCTGGGTGGGTTCAGAGCGTCACAGTTTGGGCAGTTTGCTCACCTACCTGGCTGGCACAGCAGCTGACTGTCTCTGCCCTCTTCACGCAGGAGGAAGGTGTCCAGCGTGCGCGGGAGGAAGAGGAGAAGCGGAAGGAGGTGACATCCCACTTCCAGGTGACGCTGAACGACATCCAGCTCCAGATGGAGCAGCACAACGAGAGGAACTCCAAGCTGCGCCAGGAGAATATGGAGCTGGCAGAGCGGCTTAAGAAGCTCATCGAGCAGTACGAGCTGCGGGAGGAGGTGGGTCAGGGTGGGAGACCTGGTGTAGGGTCCTTCACCTGCCCAGGGAAGCGTTTCTGCTGGCGGAGGAGAGAAGGGGGCTCCAGGCTCTGGGCTCTGCCCTTGGGTCACTGCCTGGGCAGCAAGGGCCTGGCTGAGCGTGTCAACGACCGGTGGTGTTTCCCTTGGCAGCACATCGACAAGGTGTTCAAACACAAGGACCTGCAGCAGCAGCTGGTGGACGCCAAGCTCCAGCAGGCGCAGGAAATGCTGAAGGAGGCAGAGGAGAGACACCAGCGGGAGAAGGACTTTGTAAGTCTTATAGCGGTTCTCTGATGGTCGCAATTGCTTTGCTTTTTGCCTTGTCCCTCTGCGGAGGCTTGTTACTGTTGGATCCCTGAGTGCGGAGCCCAAATCGGATCAGGCATGTCTGGCAGTGACCGTTTCCCTGAGCAAGGCTGGAGCCCTGCTCTGCCCTTCGGGTTTCTCCCAGCCTGCTCCCATCTCCAGGTCAAACGCCGGCTGTGCAGGGGCATGTTGAGAACCTTCCTTGGTGGCAGCCTGGTAACTGCCTTTGCTCTTCCTTAGCTGCTGAAGGAAGCTGTGGAATCGCAGAGAATGTGTGAGCTGATGAAGCAGCAGGAGACCCATCTCAAGCAGCAGGTGAGTTACCCAGTCTGGGTGCTCAGCCTGGTAATTTGGGTTTTTTCCTTCCTCCCGAAGCAGGGAGCAATCCAGAGTTCCTTAACTGGGAAAACGCAGAGTCAGGATTGCTCCTGAGTTTGGTGTTGGTGAGCCTGTGTCAGCACACTGTGGGCTGACTTCCTTCAGCAATTCTGCCTTCTGGGAGCAAGGGGCCTTCGTTTTTACGAGCACGTTTCCTACTGCTGGGAGCAGTCGTGTGATCATACCTTGCTGAATCAGACCCAGCAAGTGCCTCCTGCCAAGGCCGGAGACATTTGCAGAGCACATCGGTCTCTGAGGTTGTTTCCTTAGCAAAGAATTTTTCCACATTCTCCAGTACCTAATGTTGTCAGAGCAGCTCCGTGCTGCCAGGTTGTTTGTCGTGAAGTCCAGTCACAAGATAACTAGCTCAGTTCTTGGCTGACATCTCCCCTCTCCGGGGGAAGGCTGTCAGGAGGTGCCGTGGGGGGCAGTGAGGAGTTGTAACCCTGTCTCTCCCTGCAGCTGGCTCTCTACACAGAGAAGTTTGAAGAATTCCAGAACACCCTTTCCAAAAGCAGCGAAGTGTTCACGACATTTAAACAGGAGATGGAGAAGGTGGGTAACGCTTCTGCTGCCCTGCAGAGCTTGCGTGGGCTGGAGGCACTGCCTGCCTCTCCTCGATGCTTCTGTGAACTGGAAAAGCCACAGCTCTGTTAGTTTTGCTTAGTTTTGCTGGTATTAAGGTTGATGCTGTCCTTGCACAGTGACTTCTGTGTCCCGCCTGTGTCAGAACAAGCAGTGCTACCCCTGTCCCCTGGTTTGTTGTTACCTGGTCGTTGTTTCCCTCTGGTGAAGCTGACTGGAGCGACACGAGAAGTTTCCCAGGACAGCGGAATCTCGCTGTCTCCACTGGGGAAGTGGGTGCCCATTTGAGGACACATGAGATGTAACTGCAGTGCTCTGCCTCTGGCTTATTTGTTCCCTTTTTGTCACTGTGATTCTGTAGATGACGAAGAAAATCAAGAAGCTGGAGAAAGAGACCACTATGTACCGCTCTCGCTGGGAGAGCAGCAACAAGGCTCTCTTGGAAATGGCTGAAGAGGTGAGGAGGCTCTGGCTGTTCTCTGCGGAGGCAGCTGGAGCAGCGTGGTGTTGGGCCAGAGATGAGGGGTAGCAGGACAAGTTCTGTCTCGTGGCAGGCAGGCTGGGTGGGGGGTTGTGTTTTCCCCTTCGGACTGATTTCCTTCCCTGTATGTGCTGGTTGGAGCCCTCTGTCATGTGGCAAAGTGAAGGTTAATCAGTGCAGAGGTGCACGGAAGAAGTCAGACAGTCGTCGGTGCTTGGCCTCTGTGGGGGCAAGGGAAGAAAGCAGCGGTGATGATAGGATCAGGTTCTTTGAATACCAAATGTTTGTTTGGTCACAAGTAGTTTCCCCTCAAACTTCCCTCTGGGGTTTCATCTCTCTCCCTTTCTGCCCCTCTGTCCCCGAGCGTGGTGGAGCCTGAACTGCCTCTCTATTTGCAGAAAACCCTTCGGGACAAAGAGTTAGAGGGACTTCAGGTGAAAATCCAGCGCTTGGAGAAACTGTGCCGAGCCCTGCAAACGGAGCGCAACGACCTCAATAAGAAGGTGCAGGACCTGTGTGCCCACACGCCCCGGGCAGACACGGACCTGTTGGAGCCTTTGAAGGATCCATCCCGGGACGGCTCCGAGGCGGCGGCGGGAGGCGTTCCAGCAGAGCAGCGCCTGGCCGAGGATTGCATTCACTCAGGAAAGCCGACGCACAGCACGGATCCTGCGGAGAGCCCGGGAGAACTGAGCATAGGAGCCTTGGGGCAGAGCGGGACTGAGGAGGGCCCTCAGGGTGCTGACTGAGCCCCTGGTGCGGTAGGCAGAGGTAGGGAGAGGGAGGGTGACCTGAATGTTTCCATAGACTCGACCTGATGCCGCTCTCCTGGTGCTTGGACAGGCACGAGAGGACGGCCCTCCTGGGGATTGGAGATTTCCTAGCTTAGGTTTTTGGAGGGTTTTTAAAATTTTATATATATATAT